CGGTAGATTTGACGAACCGGTTCTACCGAATAGGTGCGAACTGGTAGGAACCCACCTCTGGTGTGGCAGGGGAAGGATACTGTAAAATTGCCTTTCCCACCCCACTCCAGGGGAAGGTTAGTACAAAATCTCAATTTCCTCCCAATCAGCTGGAACTCAGGAGGCAGAGAATAAATGGGGGCGGGGCCAGTCAGAGGTGGTATTTACTGGTTCTCCGAACTACTCAAAATTTCTGCTACCAGTTCTCCAGAACCGGTCAGAACCTGATGAATACCACCACTGGTGTCATATAATCAACATGGAATAAAAAAGTATATTTACATATTTTCTTTTAAAGAATAGATAACTATAAAAATCTGCTGATGTGCAGTTCTGAGTTATCTCTTCACCAAAAACTATTGATATATTTGTTTGATTTATGACTTCTAATTTCCCAAATAAGACAATGAAATAGATGACTTAATATTGTTTTCATATTAGTTTTTTATACATGGACATATAAGACTTCACTCTTATGATATTAATCACATGAAAAAGCTCAAAAACTCTGATTTGCATCTGCTTGAAGTAAAGCAGACTACCAAAATGAACAAAGGATGATGCCTACTGTTGTTGACTAATGAGTCTTTTCATTAAATTCGCCCTGCGGTTTCTGTATTCTGTATGTAATTTCTACCTTCACATGACCACAAAAGCTAATGGGGCCTGCAGAATTGAGAGCAATCCAAGTCTGTTGATATATCTGAGACTGCATTTGTGTTGTCTCCAAACTTGATTTGCAATATAGGAGTTGTAGACTTTTTGTTTTAAAATAGAAGAATTTTTAGTTATATCGTTAAATTATATCCCTTTTTATCCTAACAGACTGGAATAATTGGACTGGAATTTCCATTATTTCCAGTCAATTTAGTGATTAACTAGGAATTTTGGGAGTGTTTCTGACATATCTGTAAGGGTGTGTAATTATCAAAATCAGTATGATTATGAGTAGTCAAGGATATGCACTAGAAAATTGGGATTATCTTAATCATAGGAAACTCATTAAAAAAAACCCAGCAAAAGATATAAACTGACACATTCTAATCACCATACCTTTCAATTCTCTAAATCAATTTTTTAAAAGATCATTTAATTTAATTTATTTTCTTAATCTAGGAGCAAAGAAGTTAAGTTTTGGTTTCAACTGGATTTTGCAGGGGTGTGTCTGTGTGAAATGGGAAATGTTTCAGAAGGGGCCTTTCCTATTTTTCTGGAAGGAGAGGAATGTTTTTTTCCCCTCAGTCTTGCAAGATTCTCTTATTATATAAGCTTACGATAAAGACAGGTTTTGCTTCTTGTCGGGACTGTCTCACAGATCTAACATTTCCACCTATTCAAAAAGAAGACAAACAAAAGTAGAATTGAAAGCGCTTCCCACATGCATTTGATCAGAGGTTGGTGTTGTGTTTTGTTGTTGTTGTTGGTGGAAATATTGGAAGAAATTGACTTTTGACTATGGGGCTGGGATGCAGACAAATATCATTTGGGAAAACTCCCTGGGCAATCTAGTACAGGAAGAAAGGATTAAGTATCTCCCTGCCAATTATGGTTGCATTTGCTTTTCATTTGTTCTCTTGCATTAATGGCTTTCTTCTAGTGGAGCTAATCCATATGCTCAGAATTTGTATTTCTTTGCAATGAGATACTTATTTCACTTTTATGAGCTCATTCTCACTAATTTTATTAGTATACTTTTCATAGTGCATTCGATCATCACAGCTTGGTTATGTATGAAAAAAAGATATAAACTGACTAAACAAGAGCGATGAAATGACTTCATGACATATGCAGATCTTCTCCGAAACACAATTAGTTGCAGATGGTAAATGTATTCTTTCCTAATTGAATGAAATAGTGTTAAACAGTCACAACTGCACAGTGCAAAGAATAATACTTTTTAAATATCATACGCTTGGAAACTTCAGTTGGTGGCCTCTATTAAGGCCTGCAATGGAAGGCTTTGTGGTCAACCACTGCTCAGTGCCTATAAATAAATAATGTTGGTTTCTTTATCTACTCATTTATTGGATTACATTGGCACCCCGCCTTCTTCTCAGGAACTACAGCAAGTAATAAATATTGTGTGATTAAATTATCATTGCCTATGATATTTACACTCATGTTTTTGTTTGCCTACCATCGTTAACCAAATACTGTAGGTGTTGGAGCTTTTATACTGATTGAGTGATTTAAACCAAAAAACAAAACAAACCCTGGAAGTTTTTTTTCTTTTTCAGAGAAGGTTCCTTCCAAGTCTCCCACAAAAATGCTGGACATTCAGCCTCATTATCTTCTACTTGCAAAACATGTATTCTGCTTCTGAATTAGGGTATGAAATATTTGGCAATCTGGAGACAGAACATTCTGAGGAATGGATAAACATATGTCTTCTTTCTCCCTGCTCTTAACTGTTCTTTTCAGTTATGTTATTGCCCATTATAGTTCACATGTGATAGAACATATTCTGTATATTGATCAGTTGCATTTTGACATTTTAATTCAGGATTGTGGCTCAGTCATTCATCCTGAGGAATCCTGTGGTTTGCAGCCTCTCTCTGCTGAATACCTGGCAATCGTTTCACAGCCACAGTTGAAGACATGTGAAATGGGGGATGTAAAAGGCATGTTTTTAATATATTTTTGCATATTCAAAAATATTCTCACCTTCTTACAAGAATGTTGCTTTCTTGCGTCCTACCACTTGAAAATTAAGAAAAAGCTCAAGGTTTAGTCAAAAAAAACCAAGAGACCCAAACTAATTTGTTAAATCATCTTCTGCTTTAAATTATGAATAATTAATAATGGTTAAAATAATGCATTTGCCTTCAAAAAAGGAATTTTAACTCAGTAGCAGAGCACAAACTATGTATTTTGGAAATAATGGCATCTGTCTATTGCAGCATCAATTAAAAAAAGAAAAGTCACAAAACTGTAGATAACTTTCAATTAAAATTCCAAAATGCTGTATATCAGTTCATGGAGACAGAGTTGATATTGTCACTTGGCTAAGTGATGCATTGCGGTTAGAGTTCTAGACAAGGACTGGAGAAATTTAGATCTGAAAGTATAGTTACATCTATACAGTTTCCCAAGGACTGTCATTGTATCCAATGATTTTTGAGTCCATTTTGGAGGTCTTTGGTGGAAAGGAAAGATGTAAATTTAAATAAGTACCATTTCTATGTCAAGCAAAGATTTGTTGTGTTGCCCCGAGTCTCCTCCATTTGGGTTCATTTTTGGGTCAAGAGAAAGTAAAAGTATTTTGATTTCTAGGCATCAATGTCTGCCTAATTTATTTCTGGTCAAAAAATTCCATGGTTATCATCTACTTTCCAGGACAGTGGATTGTTCCTTGCCTTAGTTGTTCTGATAATAGAACCTGTGATTGGAGGCAGATAACATGGCAGCCAAGAAATTGTCAATACCCTGTTCTGAATAAACCAGAACTCCAGAAGTGTGTTGAAAGAAAAAAGGTAAGTCACAAGGTTGGTAGAGGAAAATCTGTACAAAAAAACCCCAATTTATCTCTTCATTTAATCTGTGGTGTTTTTAGAAAGCTGAATATTGTATTATTAATATATTAATCATTCTTCCATTGTAATTTTTATTGTAGTCCAAACAATACCCTAAGTTTGTTTCAATTAATGAAATGCTATATGTTAGTGTTAGACATTAATTTGTTTTTCATGAATTCTGTTTTTTTTTTCCTGCTGGCGTGTAATGCATGGCTTTGCTCCTGCTGACCAAACTTACCAAACTTCCTTCATGTTCTCGTGCAGGCCTCAGGCGTTTCTTACCTTGAAGATTCTAAGACTGCTTGGAAAAGCAGTGTCTCCTTAATAAGCATGGTTTGACTGTCTAACATCTGGCTGACATGTGTGGCACAGGTACAGCTGTCTGCTAATACAAGTATTCGGAAGTAAATGTTACATTGCAGCTATTGCAGTGCATTACGCCGTTAAGAATAAACACTTAAAAATAACCCCAATATAAGCTGCATGACTAATGAATATCTAAAACGTTCAACTAGATATATATATATATATATATGTTGCATGAACTTCTTTAACACACATGCATTTTATTTTTTTGGACTATATAGTTAGCTCCCAGATTCCCAGAATTTAGGAATTAAAGTCTAAAACATCTGTTGGGCATCATAGCACTTAATTTGCCTTATATTAGTGTTTCTCTACCTCAGCAACTCTAAGATATATAGAGTTCAACTTTCTGAATTGCCCACACAGTATTCTGGAAGTTGAAGTCCACACATTTTAAAGTTGCTGAGATTGAGAAATCTCAGGGCACCAAGAAAAATGTTCTGCAATAGATGAACCATAAAGTAATTGGCACCAATAAAGTAAAAAGAAAGGTTGAGTCTTATCTTTCCTGCTGATGCACTCAAACAGAATCATCTTCAAGGTTGACAAGCAAATATCTATCATTCCTTTTCTATTCCTGACTTATTTAGCACGCAATTCTTCAATTCCAAGTGTGTCCATTCATGTTTTCTCTAGCTTTGGAAATTCAGTTATACTATCCAAAACTTGAACTATCTATCTAACCTTATTCCTGCCATAATTCACCTTGTAAAATAATTGTTCTAGAAAGGTCTAATCTATTTTTAAACAAGTTCTATTCTGTATTTTTTAAAGCCCTTATTTATTGCAGGTTTGCCTGTTGATTCTTATTTAGCTTTCTTTAAAAAAGAAATTTAAATCTTTTATTAAACAAAATAAATTTATAAATAAGGCAATAAACACAGAAACAAACAGAAAAAAATGACAAAAACATCCCATGTAGGGGAAAAAAGTCACCTCAATTTTTAAACATATCATTACATTTTGACCACACAGAATAATACTGTTTTGTCTTTCCATCACATTGAGAGCCATAAACAGAAAGCAAACAAGTATGAACAATCCTCAATGATAATACTAGAGTTGTGCTGTCCTTCCAACTTTGAAGAATAATATGTTTTTGCTCCTTGCCATACTGAATAAATATATACTTTTTCATACAGTGGTATATTTTATATATAATTGAGGAATTTATTCATATCTACAAACATAGATGGTATTCTGCCAATTCACACCGGTTCGAGCAAACTGGTAGTGGCACAAGGCTCTGCCCACCCACCCAGATGTCATCATGGACCTTCTGTGCATGTTCCCGCTACTGACCGGTAGTGAAGAAAAAAGGATACCATTACTGTCTACAAAGCATAGTAAATCTAGAATAATGTAGGACTGAAATTGAAGAAAATATTTTGTGATATATTAATGAGCATGAAACCCAAAAGGGGAAATTGTGGAATAACTCATAAGCCACAAGTTAATTTCCCTTACCCATGTCACAGTTGTGACTGAATAATGATGACAGCCTTTTAAAATATTTCTGGATTCTCTAAAAATACAAGATGATTTTTTTTCTTCAGTTAGTCTTATTTTATGAACATGAAAAACATCAAATATTTCAATCTTGAATTTTTTGATTTGTTAATATGAATATTTTAATATTTAATTATAAGTCTTGCAACAATGAAAATCTGTCTTAGCAATAGTCCTTATAGGTTTTATAAAAACATACTATAGATTTAGAATCATCTCCCCAAAATTTGCAATACTAATAAATTTGAGAGTGAAATTTGATATATTAATGGAATATATTGCTTTTTAAAATAATTTAAGCAACCCAATTTTTCTTTTCAATAATCTAAGTTGTGTACATAAACATAGATGTATCTTTAATTTATAACCAGTAATTGCCCCAGAGTCTAAAATTATATTTTTGTTCCAATATTTGCAGATGTTCCTTGCTGCATTTAATGCAGAGAATACAATATTGCTATCACTAAAAATGGAACTAAGAGTCTATTGTGATATTAAAATAAACGTTTGTCCACAAGATGAATTGTTGGTGAGGGAAGGAATAATGAAACACAATGTTATGATACAAACTCTGCACTTTTTGTATTTTCAACTGTGACATCCCATGTAAATATACAGTATAAAAGGCAAATACATTTTTGGTCATTTGGTTAAATCTTCAGCTTCTGCAGATGCAAAAGTCGGACATTTTACACTTGTGTCAATTTTTAAAAAAACCTCTCTTCCATAGGGAAATGGAACCAATGACATTCTTAAACTTCTCAGAAATTTTCCCACAGAACTGCCCCATCTATTAAACTATCCAAAGAAATGCCCTATTACTGAAGTAAATAATCTCTAAAAAATATAACAGAACAAATGAATTAATTGGTTCCTTTCTCAATCTGGTACTTTTCATTTGTGTTGAACCACTACTCCCATTATATCCAGAGCATAACCATTAGGGTAGATTTGTAGTCTGATACATCCAGAGAATAGCAGGTTGAAGGAGGTTCTTTCTTCTGGAGCAGCAGATACCCTGACAAGGTGGCAGAGAAAGTTGGAATATAATGTTGATAAGAACAGGTGATGCTCAAATCCTACTCTTTCCCATGAAGCTTATGATGTGGTCCTGGAGACACAGCTGACCAAGAAATGCAAGTTCTATAAGGATCAACAAATATGTTGAGCATTGGATTGGTAGGGCATCCTAGGCTTTGTGTTTCACTAATGGCCATGGCTTGTCATTGGCTTTATTCTGATCTCCCTTTTCAGTTCAGCACTCAAGTTATTTCTATCAGTGCTAACTTAGAACCACAGGGTAGGGTAGAGAAGTACACACAGATTGTCCGAGACAAGAAAAATGGGTTATAAATCCCTAAGCATCCCGTAACAGAGCTTTGGGAGATTAATGTGTTAGTAAAGCTAATAGGTTATATACAAAGAATGTAGGAAATGTATGTTTGAAAAGAATTTATTCATTTTATATATAATACAATATATTTTAAAAATTATTTGAAGTTTTACAAGTACAAAAAAAGGATATGAAATGTATATTACATGATAATACAGTATACATGATCTTATACTGTAGCATTTGAAAAATGAAATGAGTAAAAGTACATTAAAAAAAATGAAAGCCAAACAAAAAAGTGGTTTGTTTTCCCCATGTAATAAAACTTTTTATCAATTTCTTGTTAATTAATTTAACATGGAGTTTTGCTGCTATGTAGTATTTTGATTGCCCAAAGGAACTTTTTAGAAAAAGAAATTGAAAAGGTAAAAAGAATACTCATGAGGTACTGGTATATGTTAAAGGTGATGGAATACATATTTATTCAGTTTCACTCTTTAAAAAGCCCTTTATAGATTAATAGTATAATCAAATGAACTCAGCAATTTATATAACTAAGAAATGAATGTTATTCTAATTGTATCCTTTATTTTAATTTACAGTATTTTCACATAGTCTGACAGAATGTGTGTGTTTTTCCTGGTTTGGTCCTTATATTTTTAAAAAACCCACTTTCCCTTTATACACACTAGATGACACATATAAGCAATACCATTATTCTGCTTAATTTTGAAATTGGCCAAATTCAAGAAAGCTATCTTAGATGTCAATGAGGGCTCTGTGTTAAGAGTTTTCATTGGAATCTTCAATATTTCACATGTGCAATGTGCTACTTCTCAGACTGAGTTTTTTATGTGTAAATTGGGATCTAAAATATTGACTTACAGAAATGATTTTAAAGCAGCCTCAGATTTTTAAAGTGCTGGGCAAAATAGCATTGGAGCCTCTTTTTTTTCTTTTTAAAACCCCATTTCACTCCTATTTCAGGTCAATATCCTTATGCATTTGGCTCATTCTAAAAGAGATTCAAAGAACCAAAGAGGAGTTGGTGGTAGCCTACATCCAGCTATTAGGGTATAATTTAAAATTTACATGTAGAGTAGAGTTATCTTATTCTCAGTCACTGACTTCTTCTGAAGAATTATTCATATCTGCCCAGGCTTGATGCTGGAAAGTAAAAGAAAGCTGAGAGAGCTTAAAACTGCTTGATATCTGACTAGAAGAGATTTGTGTTTGAAGTCATAGAATCCAAATATGTATATCCATCCATAATAGATGCAGTGACTGTAGAATCCACTTCACATTTTCCTAAGTATAGAACATCTCTGTAAAAATTAATACTAATAAATACGTATCTGAAAAACAACCTTTCATATTGAAAATACACATTGTCCTTGCTTAGCAACCATTTGGACCAATTGGGACCAGCCACACAATTGCTAATGCTGCAACTGCTAAGTGGAAAACCACATGACCACAATGGGCTTACAACCTCACTTCCCCTTCAGTTGTTTAGTGCCACAGTCCTTAAGTGAAACATTACGATTTTACTTCCATGTTATCTATTAATTCTGCTTTTTGCAAGACAGTTGTGAAGTACACAAATGGCAATCGTGTGACTGCAAGATTCTGCAACAGTCATAAATGCTTATCAGTTGTGAAGGGCCTGAATGAAGATTGCATGACTACCAATTGCTGTGACAATTGGTCTCGGAGCTATTTTTTTACACTGTCAGAATTTCAAATGGTTGCTAAATGAGGCAGTCGGTAAGTGAGGACTACATGTGCATTTATGACCCTCCATCATACAAGTTGCTGTAATTTATTTATTGCTAGTCCACCAAGCAGATTTAAACCAAAACTGCAGACTTAAGCTCTGAGTTCCACTGATCTATCACTTTTGTTATTAAATGGTTTTTGGTTTTTACCTTTAAAGGTTCTTTTTATTGGTGATTCCACTAACAGAGGGATGATGTATTACCTGATAGAGAGAGTGAATGAGACCCTTCAAGAATGGCAAAAGGCACATGGCATGAAGTTTTATCACAATGTGAACAATGGGAGCACTTTCATTAGTTATTCATATTATCCCCAATTCTGGATCAGTGTCAGTCAAAGATCTACATTTGAAGAAGCTCTAGAGCAGCTGCTATCCAGGTATGATAGAACAGTTGGCAAGATTAGTTTCTTTTTCCTGGCATTCAGGTGCTTGATTTGAGTGTTCAGTTCCTGCCTTTGGGAGATATTTACAGTACCTCAAGGTAGAAATGTCCTCCTTTTTAACCGTGTCTTCCCTTCCTTGCCTTGCCCCCCCTCCCCCGCCAACATGTTGACAGGATGCAACAAAGGCTGACACTTAACAGACTGGGTCATTTTTCCACCCAGAACTAGCCCTTCTGTTGGGCAAAATGAGACAAGAAGTGGCCAATTTGGTGGACCAGGGATGAGGCCCTGGATAAATTTCCTGACAGTGAGAACAATTAATCAGTGGAAGGACTTGCCTCCAGAAGTTGCAAATGCTCCAACACTGGAAATTTTAAAGAAGAGATTGGACAACCATTTGTCTGAAGTGGTGTAGGGTTTCCTGCCTAAGCAGGGGGTTGGACTAGAAGACTTCCAAGGTCCCTTCCAACTCTGTTATTCTAAGCACGTTCTAAGATTCTCCACTGCTTTTACCACTTCATCAGAGGGAAAATTCTAGCAGTTACAATTTTGGAGAAACTATTACAATAGAAAGGGAATAACAGGTCTCAGTTGATCTCATATTTAACTGTACAGAGCAGGTGTGGAGAACTTGTAGCCCTCCAGGTATTCATATACTAAGATACCTAACAGACCTAGACTACGATCCCTGGAAAGGGAAACTGAGAACTCTAATACAGCAACAGGTTTCCCAACTCTGTTCAAAGGACACTTTCTTTTCTCCTTTACATTTCAAAGCCCTTCATCAAAAGTATTTTCTGTTCCTGGGAATGTTAGCATGCAATAAAAGAGAAAATGGTTCAGAGGTCAGAATGCAAAGTCCTAAAATACCAGTGGAATTTTAAATATCTTTGAACATCTTTGCTAGAGTGACTTCCTTGCATCAGGCATGTGCTGTCTTTGCATACATAATAATTTATTCAATGAAAAATAAGAACAAGTAATGAATGTTTATGTTTAAAATATGTGGAATGATAGTCTGTAATGGAAAATGACTTCAGTATGTGTGGTTAAGAGTGGTCTTAGCTGAAGTGTATTGCAATGTTGCTCAAATATAAATGCTTCCATCTGTTCAAATGGTGAAGCAAAGTTTGTGGTTATTGTTATTGTTGTTATTATTATTACTATTATTTCAGATCACAGCCATTAAAGAATACAGGCCAAACCATACTAGTTATTGGTGGAGTCCAATGGCTTAATTTCAGTCATTTGCATATTATTCAAAAAGTACTGAAGCGGTAAGTGTTAATATTGTAGGGTGTTTTTTTTCTTTGACATTATACTAATAAAAAAGAAACATTCCTAGTGGCTATTTCCAGTATGATTTTTAGTATGTTTAGTGATTGGGCGTTTTTCTACCCAATCATCTGCAGAATCCAGATATTGCTGAATTGCAATTCTCTAGGTTCCCAGCCAATATGGCTAATAATGACAGAAGCTGGGAGTTATTTAACAATATCTAAAGAATGAATCTCCAACTTTTTGTGACCTGATGGGCACATTTGAGAATTTGAGCTATTCTTCCCAAATGGCTGATGGGAGTAGGCTTGCTTATTCACAAAACAGCTGCAAGCTGCTACATAGCCACTTGGAAACTACTGGTTTCTAGAATGCTACTTCCCATACCATTCCCTACTATTCTTGACTGTTGTATTTTATTTTATTTTTTAATTGACATGCAAGTTCATAGAAAACTGTTTACAGATCTGTTTAGGTCTGCATTCTTGGAAATAAAGATGATATTAAACATTTCTGCCTTGCTTTGAAGCATTTACTTGTTTCAATTAAAAATCTAAAACAGTCAAGGCAAATGACTTGAAAAGTATCTGCAGGCATCTTGGCAACTCCAGACACCTTACTTAAAGAAGTCAGGGACTCGGGAAGCACAGTTTCATCATTCCCATGACCTATATTTTAAATATAAAATGTAAAATCCAGCTCCACAAAAATGTCTCCTTAAAGAGTGGGGAAAGCGACAAGGCAAGGAAGATATCTTTCCTTGTATCTGAATCCAAAACCACTTACATAAATTTCACTTATTGGACCAGATAATTGGATAAAACTGAATGTCCATCAAAATGTGCATAGGTTTTTTTTAAATAGCATGCACAAATGCAACTGGGCATCCAAATACACAGTGTCATATAGTTTGCTGAAAAAACAACAATCTTGATGGACCATATGGTCCATCTTGGGCATATACTGGGCTTTCGCAGTTCCTGATCACTAGAAATAGGCACACAGAAGCCAGCAAATAGATCTCCTTCTTGAGACCGGGATCTTCTAACTTGATGGAGCTGCAGTTGCAGATTCAGGCTCAGTGGTGCCCTAAGCACTGACAAATCTTGGTGCCCCTCCTTTGTACATACTCTACAAATCTTCATTGGTTTTTTTTTTCTTTCTCAACTTTGTGGTGCCTCTTTTGGGCCTGGTGCCCTAAGCATGTGCTTAGTCTGCTTAATGGTTAACACACCATGTGGAGCTGTTTTTGTGAACAACTGTGGCAGAACTTTTTAAAGCCTGTGCTTGAGTTGTAGGTCTCATATGAAGAAAAATGGAATGGTATATACCTGAGAGCTGAACTCACTCTCTATTCTTTAATGTTAGGTGGAGCAAAATTGGTAGAAATTGCATTTCCAATTGCAGTTCCCTAGCTAAGTTACATGTATGACCATTTCTGCTGCCATTGCTACAAAGTAGTTTTTAACGTAGTTCTTGTCTGGGCTAATACATCAAATCTTTGTCATGTGGACTTATCCAATTTTTTTAGTTATGCAGAATTAAGTGCATTTTGTCTGATTCTGAGGGCATAGGAAACATAAAATAGGTTCCATTACAATTTGAAGGCCAATTCACTTTTCCATTTCTTTCAGACCGCTGATCATTCACACCTTGCTTTTCTGAAGATTACTGAAGAGTATTCATTCCTCCCCAATTTTAATCTTGAGCATGATAAAATATAAAATAGATTGTCATCAAAACTCCATCCTTCAAAATAGCTTCTTATGAATATGATTTGATCAAAAATATCTTAAATTGATAACTGTAGGGACATCAGCATTAAATTATACCCACAAGGATGATGTCTCCGTAGTTATCAAGTTAAAATATTTTTGGTTAGATTATATTAGTAATACATGAGAAGACCACTATTACTTTCTATTTTCACTTAATGTTCAAATTACTAATCAAAATATTAAATTGAAAGTCAAAATTTTAAATGAAATGTCATTTTATTGAGCCTAAATATTGTACCAGTGGCAATTTCTTAAAATACTGCGCCTATGCAAATGCCAAAATAAAATGTTATCTGTTTTTCTCATTTGCTCTCTAGAATGAATCTCTCAAATATAATGGTAGTGATAAAATCCCTAGGAATGGGCTTTCATCTGCCAGTAGATGGAGTACACACTTTGTCATCAGTAAGTTGAAATTTGTTCATAGCCTATTAAAATTAATTGTTCTTTAAACCATAATTTTCTTTTGTTCAGCATCCTGATCCTAAGAATTGCACTGATTCTGTAATGTACACAGATGCCAATGACAATAGCAGCTGTTCAAGGTCAACAAAGAGGCACATGTTGGATTCCGAGAATGTTTTTTATCATTGTGGTATAGAATAACAGACTCTTGAAAGCCTGTCAGAGTTGCTGTCCAGTGTATCTTATACTAAGCAAACATCAAGGCAGAATTATTCTGAAAGTCTTATGTTTTCCACTTTCTCAGGACTGTTCCTTAGCAATTCATTGCACCTTTTCCCCTTCCCAAAGTTGGATCATAGAAAAGGTTGCTGTCAGCCTGTCCCAGATAGACCAGCAGGAAACACAACAAGATGAACTAATTCTAATTTACTGTACAGCTATATTAATAGAATCAAGCATGTCTGAAGTATAACTCTCTCTCTCTTTACCACACAATCCTTTCAAAAAATAAAATAAAATATCTGCCCATTACTCCGTTGTGATGTCTTTCCCCTTTTTATCTGATTGTTCCCTTTGCAACATCTCTTCTCCTTGTCTCACATTCCATTACACTCTCTCACAGAAAAACAACTTTGGGTCTCAGCTTCCCTCACTTGATTAAAACGGGGAATCACAAGCCATATTTATAGATGAAAAACAAACGTTGAATTGCACAGGTATATTATTAGTCACATGCTGGGAATACCCGATGAAATATAGACTACTGCATTTTATAGCAGTTGCAGTTTCCAGGTGGCCTTCAAAGCAGTCACATGTAAAGTGCATTGTAGAAAATAGTTGAGTAGTATTAAGGACATAAGTCATTGCTAAATGATTCTCTTCCTCCAGAAAGAATTACAGGATTCTTATGACTAAGAAGACTCCCAAGTTATGGCCATCCTTCAGGAAAATACTGCCTTCCCAAGAAACAATAGAAAGTCATGTTGACCAAACAACAATTCCATCTTATTAAAGTTCAACTTTAGCCTATTTTGTCCCTTCCAGACCCCAATATCCTCAAAAACTAAAACATTTGACAGCACTGGTAAACAAGTGACACTTGGTCCAACTGTGGAAAAGCATAAATAGCCAACAGAATCATACTTTATGTTCGTTCATAATACCTTTCTTCCCTCAGTGACTATGCCATCTGGCAATAAGCATGCACATTATTATAAAAAATTATGGTCTGAATTCCTCCCTCATGCTCATTCCATGAAAGATAAGCGAAATTCAGAGATGTGTCTTTGCTTTTTTAATGCAAGTTGTGCCAACTGAAGAAATGAAATATACTTCTAATTGAAAAATTCTGAACATAATAATTTGTTCTGCCAAAAATGAGCTGTTTTTTTCAATACAAAGCTTTCTCAATATAATTTGAAAGAAATGTCAATTTATTGTTCTATAATTAAATTATTAGTCAGATACCATTCTGATTTACTGTCTGTCACCCATCCATTATTTGATCCTCATTTGCCTATAGTAAAGATAAAGGTGAAGGTTTCCCTCGCACATATATGCTAGTTGTTCCCAACTCTAGGGGATGGTGTTCATCTCCATTTCAAAGCCGAAGAGCCAGCGCTGTCCGAAGACGTCTCCGTGGTCATGTGGCCAGCATGACTAAATGCCAAAGGTGCACAGAACACTGTTACCTTCCCACCAAAGGTGGTTCCTATTTTTTCTTCTTGCATTTTTACAAGATTTCAAACTGGCAGAAGCTGGGACAAGTAACGGGAGCTCACTCCGTTATGCAGCGCTAGGGATTCAAACTGCAGAACTGCCTATCTTTCTGTTCGACAAGCTCAGCATCTTAGCCACTCAGCCACCACGTTCATTTGCCTATATTACCCTATAAAGAATTTTTTTTTCATGGTAACTAGGAAACTTTGAATAAAATAAAAATAATCTAATGTAAAATTAAATTTCAGCCCCATAATGAGTTTGAAGGAATGCAACAGTATTACAAAATGAGTTCATTAGTTTTGTGTCATCTCATTTATCAATACCTGTAAGATTAAGGGTACCTAAAACACATTTTATTTCTGAAATAAGTTCTCCTTCCCTCTCTCTTTTTATTTCTTTTCCTCTCTCTGTTGTATTATGTTTATTCTAAAAAGCTCAGTTTGGGAGTTGTTTTATCGCAGCCACACTTGTTTATACTCAACAAAAAAGTTGAGTTGTTCGTCTCAAATTTCCATTCAAATCATTAATTTGCTTACCATTCTTCTATTCAAACAGAAACTAGAAATAAACAAAAAATATTGATGTGAGGTGTCTTGTTTTAAACTGCAGGTAGAAATACAGAATTTGTGGAAAGAAAATCTTGCTATTCTAAACACTGCAAAACACTACGGTTATGAGGTAGTTGATACGTTCATTATTACAATGGGACGGTACAAGGAATTTTTGCAAGGGAAATGTGGATGTCATTTTCATGAGGTAAGAATTGGGGGTTAGTGCTACAGCCTGGGTATTTATACACTTTAAATTTTGTCCTACATTAATGAAAACATTTGAAATATATCTAGATTTTGGCCATCATAAGCATTTTACAGTTAGACCAAGCTGGCTGAGGAATTCTGGGAGTTGAAGTCCACAAGTCTTAAAGTTGCCAAGGTTGGAGATCCCTGCTTTAGGTTTGGAGACGATAGGCTTAAACCAGGGTGAACTGATAGCAGATAGACCCCTCTCTCTGGGAGGTAATTGGGTAGCAATTTTCCAGGGCTTTTTTTATGCGCTTAAGTTCCCTATCTGAGGACTTTTGTCACATTTTTACTTTTACTTTTGCCACATTTTATTTTACCAGAGACTATAAATAATAACATCTGGAGATAGTTTAGCAGTGTATCTTGTCAGTGACTGGTCATACTTCAGTTGATACTGCTGGAGAATTTTTTTTAAAAGGTGGGTGTCCTTTGCAGACAACACTTGGGCATGGTCTGATGCAGAGGTGGATTCCTACCGGTCGGCCGAGTAGATAGTAACTCGGCCAGCCATGTCCCTGAACTGGTTCTATTGGCAGTACCATAGGTGTCGGCATCTTGTTTTTTGCTTCTGTGCATGGGCAAAAGCATTTTTTTTTTACTGCTGCGTATGCGTGAGTAGCATGCATCAAGCATGTGCGCACGTGTGCGCCCGAAGTGTGTTCCTCAGCAAACTGGCAGTAGAAGAAGCCGGAACCTGGTCTAATGACATATTTTTCAGTAACTTGGGAGAAACTGTGGACTGTATACAGCTGCCCACCCACCCCTCTAAGGAGGTAGGCTAGGAAAATAATCCCATCCTCTTTCTCCTAATTGTGACAAACAGGAATAGAGATTAAAGGCCAGAGTGATTTTGGAAATAATGCTGCAAATTCTAGAGCTGGCTAAATAAACATAATGGCACACAGAAGTGGCTATGTTTATATGTGTAAAGGGAAAATAATTCCTTATGTCTTACATGATGCCGCTGTGCCATATATTTCCAACCCATGCACTTCAGGATTCTAAATGCTAAGAAAATGTGTGATTTCTCAAGAACATTATTTAAATAAATCAACTACACTCACTCAGAAAAACTGTATTTGGCCCATCCATTGCCATTGTATCCACTGTCAAAAGTAAAGTAGCCACAACGTTTATCCATAGAATTTGTTCTGGAAAAGCATATATTTTTCCAAGCACAGTGATACTGCACTCTTGAGAATTCCACCATACAAGCATGGCAAGAAATATCATCATTTTGGCTAATATTGATTTCTATGCTAGTGTACCCATAGGTAATTTAAGACCCTAATCAAGCCCATCACAACCATAACCCAATTTTGCTACCTTTTTATGGGGGGTCATTAAATGAACACCGTAGTAATTAAATAAACCATTGATTTATTATGAAGCTGTTTTTGTCAAAAATCACAAGTGAACGCCAATTTTCAACAAAACTGTCATAAAATGCAGTCATATGACCGTAAATGCAGCCCAGTTTCCAAATGCATGAAGTAGCATCACATGACTGGAGAGGCAACCATCATAACTTCAAATCTGGGTCATAAATACCGCCCAGGTAGGTCTATCAGAACTTCAAACAGTGATTGGATTACATGTATTTACATTGTTGGGTAGACCAAACTAAGCTGCAAAGAAGAAAAGGATAAGAACTAACTTTACCACTTTTGAATATTGCACTGTAAGACATTTAAAAGATCACAGAATAAAACAACAGTAATTGTTAGTAACTGTATTGTTATACATATACCACTTGGTATGGTATTGGACCTGGGTACTTGAGAGACCGCCTGCTGCCAATTACCTCCAATAGACCGATTAGATCCCACAGATTAGGCCTCCTCCGAATTCCATCCGCCAGCCAATGCCGGCTGGCGACTACCCGGAGGAGAGTCTTCTCTGTGGCTGACCCTCTGGAACGAGCTCCCCGTGGAGATTCGAACCCTCACCACCCTCCAGGCCTTCTGCAAAGCCCTGAAAACCTGGGTGTTCTGACAGGCCTGGGGCTAAAGAGCTTTAGCCCCCCCTCTCGAGTGGTATGGTTGTTGTGTGCTTTTAAATTGTGTATTGTTTAGTTCGTCTTTTTTATCCCTTATTTGTATCCCCTTCCCTGACTTGGATTGTGAGCCGCCCTGAGTCACCTTCGGGGAAAAGGGCGGCATATAAATGCAATAAATTCAATTCAATTCAATTCAAATTCACTTGAACTGAGAATTTGTTGCATGTACTTGAAACATTGGCATAATGTCTTACAAACCATTGCTTCCCTCTCTTTCAGGTGGTGAAATCAAAGGCATCTGAAAAAAGCTTTCCTATAGCAACAACATTCTCAAGACCTTACGTTCTGGGCAAATATTTCAACAACCAAAGTAACGTTGCAAAACTGCAAGCTTATGCATCCAATTCTCAATCTCCTTATCATGTGAGAGGCCCAATCAATCAAGTTTATTCTGAAATACTCCTCAGCAGGATCTGTGGGAACAACAGAAAGGATGCCAGCGTGTAATTTTGAATGGTAGGCATGTAGAGCTCAAAGACTCCCCATTTTCCCCCGGAGTGGCTCACTGATCCTCTCAGATTTACTACACATTTCCCTGAAAGGCGGAACAGATTAGCATAATTCAAGACATGTGGGCATTTCATCAAAGCCTTAGAAAATCAAGATGGATCTTCAAGGATTTGTGGTTTCAGAGGGAGAAACCGAAGCACAAGTGGCAAAAACAAGAAGAGTTATTTGAAATAGCACCCAACATTAAATCAGATGTAAGCTAAGTTTATGCAATATTGTATGATAGGATGTACTGTATTCCATGTTTAAAGATTTTATAATTATAAATGAAAAAAGCAATAGAAGAAAACATACTTTTAGCATTTGCATTGAAGAAATGATGGTATCATCATCATTATCATCTCACAAGAGATTTTTGTTCAAACTGATTATGTGCCATCAAGTCAGTGTCAACTCCTAGTGACCACACAGATAAATCTTTTTCCATGATGAACTGTTTATAACTTGGTCTTTTAGTTATTCCAACAGTCTATACATCACTGTAACTGTGATCCATCTTGTTGCTAGTTATCCTCTTCTTCTCCTTCCCAGCATTACAACCTTTTCTAGATCTCCTGAAATAATGTTTCCAAAGCAGGATAATTTGAGCTGGGTTTAGTGAGTATTTTGAGTTGATCTTGTTCAAATTAACCAGACTTACATTCAAAATGCTAGGTAACTTCCACTTGTTGCTCTAGTGCAATGATTAAGGTTACACAAGTACTATGTGGCTGCATGAAGTTTTATTCTTTCTTTTGTCCTCTGTTGTTAAGTTGATGCAGGTTTCAGAATGTTTGTCTGTCAAGCAAAACTGTAAAGAAAATTGCCCACATAAATAACTTTATTTTATAACATTACATTTTCCTTCTGCCTCCTCCAGTAGTAGAATTGATTTGAGAACTCCTATACAAAATTTTTGTACTGTTTAACAAAACCATTTAAAAATGGGAGAAGAAACTTCAACTTGTCACTTGGATCAAGGTAATATAACACAAGACCCAGTTTGCTGTAATAATTAAAGTATCATGAATCAAGGCAAATATACATCTCCTAAGACAATGGTACAGGGTCCAATCTGGGTAAGTCACCGGGAGAAGAGGTTTAGTCTCTCGACTTTCGGACTTGTGCTGGAGCCCATCCTCAGGGAACTTCTCTCTACAGCAGGGGTGTCAAACACAAGGCCCAGGGGCCGGATCCAGCCCAAGGGGTGCTTTGATCTGGCCTGCAGAGCCACCCTGGAAACAGCAAAGGACCAGCTTGCATTGCCTCTGCCAGTGAAAATGGAGCTCAGGAGGCCTGCATGCGGCCTTCCTGAATTCCTTTTTTGCTGGCAGAGGGTTGCAGGAGCCCATTGTAGTTGAGAATGGAGCTCGGGTCTCTGTTTTTGCTGGCAGAGCGCTCAGGCCACCATAGGCGCTCTCAATAGAGTGACATTGAACTGTCCATGCCCACCCTGGCCACACCCACCCCTGCCCCCCCAAGGTCAAACACCCTTGTGTCTCTCAATGAAATCGAATTTGACACCCCTGCTCTGCAGGAATGTGTCCTTTGGGCTATTCTATGTCTAGTATTTATGTGGTGCCTGATTGGCATGACTTCTTATTGTTTGATTGGAGTATTGATGGCTGGTGATTAAGTTGTTGGCTGTTGTTTCTTTGTGCTGCCAAGTCCTCAGCTCTAAAGTACCTGATAAGCTAGCAGTAAATCAGCACTCTGGTTGACTAACAAGGAGCTCATTTCCCAGGCTTCAATCATTTCCCTCTGTATCTTTGTACTTGCTTGGCTAAGGCATCAGGCTAGAGAAGGTATCAGGCTAGAAACCAGTAGACTGTAAGTTCTAGTTCCACCTTAGGCAAGCTTGGGTGAGTTCGGTGAGCTTGGGTCAACAATTTTCTCTCAATGCTAGGAAGTAGACCGGGGTGTCAAACTCAATTTCATTGAGGGCCACATCAGGGTTGTGTTTAACCTTGGGAGGCCAGGGTGGGATGGCCAGGGTAGGCATGGCCAGCTTGACATCACTCATGTTGGGGGTGTCTGTGGTGGCTTGAGCACTCTGCCAGCAAAAACGGGCTCCATTTTCAGCTGTGGCAGCCTCCTGTCACACTCTACCAGTGAAACGGAGCTCAGGAAGACCACACACAGCCTTCCCGACAGGGGTGAAATGCTACTGGTTCAGACCGGTTCATCTGAACCAGTAGTAAAAATATTACTGGTTAACCTGAACTGGTAATAAAAAAATGCTACCAGTTCGATCAGTTGTGACGCGTGATTTATACTAGCTAGAATTGTCGGATTTTCTGCTTTCTAGTTAATCTAAATCATGTGGCACAGCAGATTCTCTCCCTCTCTGTTCTACTTACCTCAGTAGCAGGCTCCGCCCACCCACCCGGATGTATTCACATCCCGTTTTTGGCACTCTGCGCATGTGCAGAAAGTCCGTGCTCACATTTGAGAACCAGTAGCAAAGGCAAGCTGATTTCACCCCTGCCTCCCAAGCTCTAGTTTTGCTGGCAGAGGGCGGCAGGAGGCTGTCACAGCCGAAAACAGAGCCTGGAAGGGCCACATGTGGCTCTCCTGAATTCCGTTTTTGCTGACAGAGGCACCACGGGTTGGTCCTTTCCTGTTTATAGGGTGGCCCCACGGGCCAGATCTAAGCACCCCATGGGCCAGATCCGGCCCCCGGGGCCTTGAGCTTGACACCCCTGAAGTAGACAATGGCAAACAACTTCTGAGAAACCTTGCCAAGAAGGAAAAAGTATGAAAGGTTTCCTTAAAACCATGTCATGAGACTGTAGTTGCAGGAATTTTGAATTGGTAGCAATACTTTTTAGCAATATGATATATATATATATACATTGTATTTTCTTTTGCTCTGCCAGAAATCACGCCCGAAGGCTAAGGGAGGTTACAAAAACCCCGATACTATTTGCTCAGCTCAGTGGGATTCTATATGTGCTTTGCAGCCCAGTTTACCTTGTTCCGTGTGTATTGCCAACAGAATCATAGCAACAGCAACAACAAAACAATTTCATTTTCCTGCAGTGACCTTGCAAGTGTTATCTGCAAGGTATGGTAAAAGAGGTCAAAATGGTAGCCATAACAATATGATACACATTTTTTTAAAAAAAAAAATGGAAAGAGCTTTCATTCCACCATCATGGATGCTTTCTTGACTTTTCTCTTGTATCCTGCAGACACCACTGGTCCCTGCATTTGACACACATTTTGCCTTTTCACTGATACTAGAATGGAGTGTCCTCAAAATTTCTCTCTGAACATAAATATTTTTAGTAACCTTACAGAAATGATTATGCATGCATCTCAAATGAAAAATTACATACCTAGTCAAAACTTGAAGTAACTTGTATTAGTGCCAAAGGTAAACCTGAAATAAAGGTAAACCCGACTTACTGAAGAGTCTTAAAATAATTATATTTACTTATAACTTAAATATTCCTATGAATACAAATTCTGATTTAAAAAAACACATGGTGTGAGGTGATCCAGGTTTCAGAGAACTTGATTACCTTCCAACAGAAGCAAATATTTAAAGAAGATTGCCTATATAAATATCTTTATACTGAAAGTAATGTTAAAGTTGAACTCAAACAGAAAGTCTTTTTTTAAAAAAGAACCTATAGTGAAATCTGGTTGTGTGATAGATTTCATGCTGGCAAATGTGCAATGTGAATTCTGAAGGTTCACCATTATATGGTTATCCTATGCTGTACTTTACTGTGTTTCATGTTTCTCAGATGTCGCTATTTTGAAAGCATCATTTCAGTGCTTTATTTTTATAGGCATATTTTATGTAAACTTATCACTGTAACATGCAAATCAACCTAATATGAATATGGACCATAGATGTTTATCAGTGATATCTAAATTGTAATTAGGCAATAGTAAATATGTATAAAATAAATATTGATACACTGTATGATATATTTCCTTGGTATGAGTATCTTTTTAATTGACATGTGACAACAGATTAATGAAAACTTCATACAGGTAGTCCTCGATTTACAGCACATTTGAGCCCAAAATTTATGTTGCTAGGCAAGATATTTGTTAAGTGAGTTTTGCCCCTTCTGATGCCTTGTCTTGCCACATTTGTTATGTGAATCATTGCCGTTTCTAAGTTATTCACATGGTTTTTAAGTAAATCTGACTTTGCTTGTCAGCAAGTCACAAAAGCTGATTACATGACACTGCAACTATCATAAATATGTGTCGGTTGCCAAGCATCTGAATTTTGATCATGTGACAAGGGGGATGTTGCAATGGTCATAAGTGTGAAACGTTACTTTTTTCATTGTTGTTGTAACTTGTTGTTGTAAATAGTCACCAAATGAACTGTTGTGAAGTTGAGGACTACCTGTTTTCTCATATATATTGAGTTCTCTGTTTTCTTTAGTATGCAGAGCTTGATGAAGAGATGTATCCTAAACATCCCGTGAAACAATATGACTATGCAGATTTTATTGGATCTTTTTTGAGATAATGCACAACAATGTCGTGATATTTTGCATCGTGATATCAATGTCTTGATATTCTGACATTATGCATCAGGATATTTTCAGATGGCACTAGAGTCTCCACGCAAACTCATTCACTGATTAGGAACTTAAGACATCTGTAAAGGGCAACACAAGATTTTGGATTAATAATAGTCACCTTCAACCATGTTGTATTGTCCTTCATCAGATTGTCTGTCTATTGCCCAGAAGCTATCCAGAGTTATTTGCCCTCTGGTACCACTATTTTGCCTACCCTCACCTCCCGGGTATCATAATATGCCAGTGAAAACCTTAGAATATCATTAAAAATAAAATAAATTTGACAAATGTTAGCATATATACAAGCAACTCTTCAAAAATATTTTTGACAATTGTTATTAATTTAATGGTTCACCTTAGCTTTGATATAGATGTTTATTCAAAGACCAAGGTTATTAATAGTATAATTCTGTAACAACAATTTGGTCTCATATAAAACTTTAAAAAATAAATAAACAACATAGGGAAATTATTTTAAAATATCAAATCACAATTTTGTTACTTATGACATACTTCATATGATAAAGAGACATAATCATCAACATAACCTGTTCAGTTTGCCATAATCCGTTGGAAAAGCCAATATAATGTGTATGGGATTAAAAAATAGTAACACAACATTCATACTATGGGTTTAAATACTTCACTATGGTTTTGTTTTAATCATAGTTTATTTAATAAATAAAAAGTTCAAATATGTCAAAGCCATACTTGATGATTTATATGATTTACCATGCTGTTTCGCACATTGGTTAAGCAAAAATTGCATGCACATTTCATGGAATAAATCCAATAACATATCAAAAAATGATTGATAAATTACCATTTGAGTCCTCAAATGGGAAATGGACAGTTTCATGTAGAAAGCATTGCAACAATCCACTCAGGATCTGACAAGGAAAAGGGACAATTGAGACACAACACAAAGTTATACAAAATTCTTCCTAGCCATGGGTGCCACCTGTTCCTCAAACAGGAGGACCCCCAAATTCCACGCAGGTTCCATTTGAGATAGTGTCATCTCACCCAGAAGAAGAGGTGAATGGTCCCTAAAAACCAGAGCCTCTCAGTCTTGCTAAGGCTGTGATGAAATCTGTTTTTCCTATTCCAAACCCTTACATACCCCAGACTCTCCATAACATATCTTGCAGTGGTGGGATTCAAATTTTTTTTTGTGGGCATGGCTTGGTGGGTGTGGCAGGGGAAGGATACTGTAAAATCTCCATTCCCACCCCACTCCAGGGGAAGGTTACTGCAAAATCCTTCCAATCAGCTGGGACTCGGGAGACAGAGAATTGATGGGGGCAGGGGGCAGTCAGAGGTGGTATTTACGGTTCTCCGAACTACTCAAAATTTCCACTACAGGTTTTCCAGAACTGGTCAGACCCTGCTGAATACCACCTCTGGTCTCTTGGTCAGCTCAGAACAGTTGAAAAACTGAATATCACCATCATACTGATGATAACTCCTTTCATGCTATTAGATTACCTCACCTAACAGGTTGATGTAATGTTAAGCTGGGGAAAACTCTGGCTATTGAAAAGCCCATCTCTTAAGAATGCCAAATTTGAGAAACATGTTATAGACTAAAAAAATGACTGCAGGAGAAGAAAACTACTATCCCTGTCGCTCAGCAATTTAGGAAGCTTTTTAGATTATATAGGTGGTCCTTGACTTACAACAGTTTGTTTAGAGGCTGTTCAAAATTACAACAGTACTGGAAAAAGTAATTTATGATCATTGCAAGTGATCCAGTGTTGGGATTCAGCCAGTTTGCACCACTTCGGGAGAACCAATTGTTAACTTTCTGAGCAGTTAGGTGAACTAGTTGTTAGAAGAAATCACTAGGGCAGAGAACCGGTTGTTAAATTCTTTGAATCCCACCACTTATGTGATCCCCTTTTGCACACCTCTGACAAGCAAAGTCAAAGGGCAAGCCAGATTCATTTAACAACCAGGTTACTAACTTAACAACTGCAGTGATTCACTTAACAACTGTGGCAAGAAAGATTGTAAAATGGGGAAAAATCACTTAACAAATGTTTCACTTAGCAACAGAAATGTTGGGCTCCATTGTCACAAATTGAGGACTACCTCTACTGTAAATAGTGTTTGAATGTATTTTTAAGTGAAGTGCA